AGTGGTCTTGAGCCAGTTGGTAACGCCAGTGACACCGGAGACACCGTTGACGGAGATGCCGTAAAGGACAAGGCCAGCAATGTGGGGAGTAGCCATGGAAGTACCGCTGATGCTGTTGGTGGCGCTGTTGCTGGTGTACCAAGCAGAGAGAACACCGGTACCGGGGGCAAAGATGTCGAGAACAGTGCCGTAGTTGGAGTAAGAGGCGATGGTCCAGGTGCTGTCGATGGCACCGACGGTGATGGCACTGGGAGCGGAAGCAGGAGAGGTGTTGGCAGCGTTAGCGCCGTCGTTGCCAGCAGCAATGGCAGAGATGATACCGGACCTGGAGGCAGACTCGATGGCGTTGTTGAAAGAAGCAGAGTAGCCACCGCCAAGGGACATGTTGACAACAGACTTGGTGACTCGGCCCTTGGAGATGATATCGTTGGCAGCCCAGTTGAAGCCAGCAAGGATGATAGAGGTGCTAGAAGAGCTGCCCTGGAAAACCTTAACAGCCTGGATAGTAGCCTTCTTGGAAACGCCGTAGGTCTTTCCGGCAATAGTACCGGCAACGTGAGTGCCGTGACCGGCAGTGTCAGCGTTGTCGCCGCTGAAAGCAGTGTAGACAGCCTGAGCGCGGCCCTCGAACTCATTGTGAGTAGCCCGAATACCAGTGTCGACGATGTAGGCAAAGGTTCCGGTACCAGCAGCAGTATCGTAGATGTAGCTGGTAGACCCTCTAGTACGGTGAGAGACCGTGCCGAGACCCCAAGGAGCACCGGTCTGGGTGGTCAGGGCACGCTTGGAAAGAGACTCCTCTTCGTCCTCCTCAACCATGTTGATAGTCCAGACGCGATCCTCCTCAACGATGGCAACCTGAATGGAATGTCAGCATTCTGTAAGTTAGTGTAGTTGGGGGTGTCTTACATCGGGGCTCTCCTTGATCTCCTTGATGGTGCTCTTGTCGAAAGAGCCAGCATAGCCGTGGAAGCCATACTTGCCATTGTAGGTGCGCTCGACACCCTTCTCGGCGCGCTCGTTCAAGCCACGCTTGTGGACATCGCCAACCCAGCTGAGATGGCTCTCGACATCTGCAGCAGCGATATCAGACTTGAGAGTGACGATGTACTTGCCAGGGATGATCTTGCTAGAGTCAACCTTAGCAGTAGGAGCAGCGTTGACAAGTCCGAAGAGGGTAGTCGCAGCGACGGCGAGGTTCTTGAAGTTCACCATTGTGAAGATGATTCAAAGAGGCAGATACAGAAGAAGAGGCAGAGGCGGTTGTAGATGTTGGAGTGTTGAGGATGGAGATGCTGAGAAGAAAGGACACGGTTAGGAGGAGGATGCGTTGTCTTATATAGATATTGATGTATACCCGTCGGCGACTTTCTTCGATCTATCATGATCGAGTACATGATCCACAAGATACAAACCTGCAACTGTCTTGTATCGACTGACAGGTATGCTACCCAAACCGAGACACAATCAAAGGGATGGCATTCATCAACTTCCTCTTGTGGTGAGGAGCGAGAGCCTCACACAGTGTCTTGTCGTCGTCCTCGACAGCACCAAACGGAAAGGGGAAGGCGATATGCGATGCATTGAGGCGGCAGACATTCTGGCAGGCAGGTCGCGATGGCGAAAGTGCAAAAGTCCTTCAGGAATGCGAGTAGCTGGTCGGTAGGCCATGTCTCAAGGCCAAAGCGTATGCAAGGAACCTTTCACCAGAACTGATACCTTGATAATAAAGTGCCAGGATATCAGGGCGTGGTCTAAACAGTCGTAGTGAATATATCTGGCCTGTCTTAAGCATCGATGGAAGACAGGTTGTCAAAGAGGCTCATTTACATGTGATGAGATAGGCCTATATCGCTATTCATCGGCCTCATAGAAATTCAGGCACTCAGCATTGATTGGAGGGGTCCGCCTGGCGTGAATCGTAGTCGACATTGTATTAAAGGAGCAACCCTACCTGCTGGTGTTCTTGGCAAGTACCGCCACCCACTCTCTAGATGCTGTGATACCTCAATTTTGGCAGCAACTACCGGTCTCCATGACGATTGAAGCTGGGGGGTAAAATGGCCGGAGGAGGAAGGCAAATGCCTTTCAGGTCTCTTATTGGAGGCAGAGATTAAGAACCTAGCCGCTCGGAATTATGGAGCGGCCCGTGAATGATGCATAAATCCTAGTTAAATGTTTATCGTCAAGAAGTTGAAGAGTACACAGTCGTAGAGGATCAGGAAGCTACCTAGGAGACTACCCAATGAGGTAGCTATGCTTGTCCACAACTCCAGGATAATCGACCAAGTGAGGTCAGGCGAAGGCCCTTGGCGACTTAGCCTTGCTGACAATAAAAAGCAATCGAGACGTCTTTCGCACCATGAAATGTGCTATATCCGTACTGAGGTTTTCTGTATTGACCTTCAAGTCAACTTCCTGTTTGGGGCACTCCGGCCGTCTTGGTGCGCATTGATACCGCCGCTGGCATTGCAGTAGAAGGCGATTTGGATGCCCATTTTCGCTAAGGACTGAGGCTACAAAGCCAAGAAATGCGGAGAATACCCTTGCTTAGCCTTGCTCGTTTTTCACTTAAAGCTCCTAATGGATAAGAAGGAGGGCAGCGTGATGTGATGCGAGGGGTAGGAGGTGGTGCACTCTTAGGGGTTGCTGATCAAAGTAAGGGTTTGGAAGAATTGAGGATTCTGATGAACAGTACCAGAATCGAGGAAGCGACAGTGACCTGTTGGATCATCTCCCCTGTTGACTGCTTTTCATGATTCGAATTCCATATATTTTGTCTACAGGTAAGAGTCTAAGACGTTCAAAAGCTCAAGTGGGGTCGACATGATAGACGGGCCGGGGATGAGACGGGCAAGAGTGGGTAATATAGATCGGGGCCATAATAGCCCGAAGCGCAGGCAGGGCCCACATCCAATCAGATTCAGCGGCAGGAACAAGTGTTGGCTCTTGAAAGATAAGATTTAGTGGCGCTGTGGCCCTGCCCTGCCTGCCTGCACCCCAGAAGTCTAACTTACAGCATCAACAGCAACGTCGGCTGCAATAATGTCTTAGAAGCACCTGCCGTAAGACATTTTTACCCAACAATAGGTAACCTACTCCGTAGACGTTCTCACTTCACTGCTGGCGCCTCCCATATTCACGTCACGGATCCTTCGAAACCTGGTTTTGATGGCGCCAACTTTAAACCCGACTTCAGCAAGAAATGGACCCCGCTTCAATCCTAGGCCAACGCATCTCATCATGATCCTTGTCTCTTACTCTTACACCCATGCAATCGGTTAATTGATCAGTCAATCAATCAATCAATCAGTTGATCGTTATCAACACCACCTGATTCGACCTCGACAAAAGTACTTACCTCGCCCACGTTCTTGGGAAGACATTCAAGCAGCTTACCTTATGTTGCATAAGCTTATCAGACGCCGAGACATACGCGATATTTGGCAATAACGAATAAGCCCTCGGGTCAGCGGACCCCTGGGGTCATTCGTGGAAACCATCCGCCGTCCTAGAGCAACTCGCACGCCATTCTTTACAATGCTCGCTCTCAAGAGTCCTTTTAACTGGCCAGGAAAGCTCACCAACCTTGCCCATCCCCTGGTCACTCTCGATATCTTAGCCAAGCCAGCAATAGGTTGGCACCATCGACCCTGCTTTTATCCATTTCTGCACCCTTCCAAAGCCCGTTCCTCGACGTGTCGGCTTGGTCTCCCGTAGCCGTGCCGCACGATCACCACGGCCCGTTTGAATCCCTCGGCGAAAGGTTCTGTTTGGACTATTGAAGCAAAGCTCAGGAACAAAAGCTGCGAACTGACCTTGATTCTTCGGTTGCCAACCGGAGCTGCATCCTACCATAATCACCATGGCCAGCGGTATACGGCACGTCTTCCACGGTCAGGTCATCTGTTAAACCTTCCATTACAGCCAAAGAGGTGTTCTCGCTATTCTAGTCCTAGACTAGCATGAATACAACTCACGGACTTGAAGTTGATACCGTCAAGGGTAGCACTCGCATCAACTACAGTACCCCAGAACTGGCATAGTACTGCTCTCATTCCGGATGAGATCATCACCAGGGAGTCCATCGCATCGTGTACCCTGAGGACCCTTGTCACCATTCAATCCACGCATGCCGCCTCTGCGATAGACGTACTGCTTGAAACAGGGACCACAAAAGTACTTACAACGTCAATAACCCGAGCTCCTTCCTAGCTGGTCACTACAGTCCGGAGACGAGAGCAATGTCGCGATAAGGCTACCATCTTGTTCAATGTCGTGCAGGGAGCAGCGCCATTACGAAGTATTGCAAGAGTTGGTGAAGATGAGGTATTCCGCTCAATGTTACAACAATAGACCAACAAAGGTCCCTACAACATGGAGGGAACTGTTATGGTCTCATAAAGGTACGCGCTTCGACTAGTCGACTGCCTGAACCTCGAATGCACCATGAACGGCAGCAGCTGTATCCAATCACGCAAAGCACAATGCTTCCAAGGCTTCCAAATTGCTCTCGCCGTTCTCTGAGAGGGTGTCATCATCAGCACTATCTCGAAGCAATGATCTTCGAACAAAGTTCATGCAGTTCAGTCAAGGTGCCCTCTTCGTCAAGCTGTCCCTATGTCCAATCATTGACAGATACTGTGACGAACCTTTCCTCTGATACCTTCCTCTTTGCGTCAGTAGGCGCGGAATCTCACGCCTTGGTGATGTGATATTGCAACTCGAAGCCAAGTCCGTGGGGGTATTGTATGCTTTTAGACGAGTTCAACACTTTGACTTGCAATTTGGTCTGAAGGTCTCATCCAATCTAAATGCTTATGCCATTTTACAGATGGGGTGCCGCCAGATAGATATTCTCTGTCTTCAACTGCAAGCAAGGCATAAGCACTTTCTCATATCTGGACGGCGTTAGTATACTAATGATGCCTCAACGGTGAAAACAAATGACAGGAATATCATTCCTATGCCTGTAGCTACTTAGCAACCAATCAGCATTCGCCGCTTTGGCTCAGTGGTAGAGCGTGTCACTAGTAATGACAAGGCCCACGGTTCGATCCCGTGAAGCGGCATCACCTTAGAATCTCCTTCGGATTTCGACAACCCAACTTTTTGTCATTCTTTCGAATGGGCCATTGTATTGGACTCCCATGCAATTCCAAGACCCACCAAGGTGTCTGTCTATGCTTGTAACCAACCTGTGGCCAACCAGGCTTTTGTGTATCATTCAACTGTTACTTGGCCGCTTGTTGTTTGAGACGACCAAGTTCAGGTTTGGTCCCTTTTTGGTGTCATAAACCTCAATACAAAGAACCAGGATCCGAGGGTTCAAAACTTATCAGCCTCAACATGTGCTATAGGCTAAGGCAACTGAATGTTGTTCAGAATGCAGGTCCTAGTCCACCTTCTAGATAATTTACAGTCGATGCACCTTTTACAAACCACCTTACGCAAACTCATTTGGGAACCGATATCTCTATCCTACTAAAGAGGCTGGTAGTATTGAAAGCCCGTTTCCCTTATCAGTGTGCAGACTGTATGTGCATTGAATATGGCACCGCCAAGTGTTCATTTGCAGGACACGCTCTATGCTACCAATCGGACGAAACGACAGCTTGGCTTTCCTTACCTATACCATAATAGTGAGTCTCTGACCGTTCTCAAATGCTTTTGAACGCTTGAGTCTTCGATGGTGGAGCCCCTATGATTTATACCACCAGCGGCAATGCTTCCAAGAGTTTCAAACTATGCTCAGAAACTATTCATTTGCGATAGATTAATGGGCTTTCTGCCTATCACCCAAAGGACCCCCTTTAAAATGCGTCTGAGATCTTATAGCACTTATGTGTTAACATCCTGCCAACTCAAGCTTGTTGTGACTCGACACATTGTTCTCTCCTAATTGCCAGGTATATATCTGCTGGTTGGTAGCACCGCCATCCCGTGGGTGTAGGTTCCAGCTCACAGGATCAGGCACCATCTCATACCCGAGATATGCCGGTGTCAGCTTCGTGTGTTGGTTGCTACGTTGTCACTACAACACCTAGACTTTGTCATAACCTTAATCGGACTGCATTGTGCTGACTCTTGAAATGCTGCGTGTGTTCCATTTGCTACCCTCTGCTGACACTGGTACAGATACATGCCTCAACGGTCCCCATTGGAATACTTTATTTTCAAGGAACCTGTTCATATCTGGTAACCCCTAGCGTCTCGTTACAGTCAGTCGACTCCCTATTGTCTTTACCTCCTTCAAATCCGCCGATTCTCCCATTATAATACCAAGCACATCCTTGGTAACACTATAAGCTTGATGGGGTATCTCCGACCACGAAGAGGTCAAGTCCACACTATCTACGCTACGCGGACAGCACAGTCTACCTCCAATAATAATATACTCTTCATACTACTCATTCATGCATGCGGGGCATACACGGAGAAATCTCGACCCTTGAGCTTAGAGTTTAATGGATGACCTTAGTTTCTAATTAGCAGCCCACTACTTACAGTACTCCTGGTCCATATTGTTATATCAGTAGCTTGTTGCCCTGCATTTGTTTAAGACGCCGTTATCTAGGCGTTGGCGAAGAGACTTTCTCCTTTCAATGATGAGGCATCAGCAAGACCCTACAATTGACACTTCCCATCGAAACTTGTCCGACCACTCGTTAGCCGCTGCCGCTTCTTTATACCTGAGCATCCAGGAGCACGCTTCTCTAGTCTAAAGGCCTAAGAATTTCAAATCACTTTATTGGGTCTTTTTTAAGATCGTTTCTTTTCATAATCTCTTATTGCATAATACGACAAGTATATACAACCAAGAAGCTGGTTTCTTTCACATAAAGACAGGGTGGTCGTAACGACATCTATTACTATTGTGTTGTTGAGAACATGGGAAAGCAGTGCTTCCAACCTTTCAATCAGAGTCATGTATACTGTTATGGTTGTGTGCTCCTTAATTCAACGAGTTCTTACTCATTGTGATATAAGCTTTCTACCCGGGCAATTGCATGTTACCTGCTGATTTGCAGCTTACAGAAATTCGATTCCGCGCACCAAAGAAAGCATATGGATCAGAACTGTTGAAGAGATGAAGATGGTCGGAGAAAGTGCACATAGTGTCTGAATTCACGTAAGAAATAATTTAGGACGCCCAGTTCAGTCGCATTGGCATCTCATCCTTCTTCGTAAAGCATATTTCGCCTTTTCATCAGGCATCTACCTGCATTCCCAAGTACTGTGTCTTGAGAGTAGTATCCTTCTTCGCGCCTCTAATTCCAATCTTCACAACCTCTCCAGGAACAATATCCACCAGGTTGTCCTCAAACTTAACTTCATCGTCCTCACATTCAAGCGCCAGTCCCTTGATTGGGACCTCAGCACTGACTTCTACAAACTTGGCTCCGTCGGTAAGCTTAGCTTTAAGTTCCTTGGGCTTCTGGAAGTGCAGATACTTGAGTGGCTCCGGCCAGTTGACGTATCGCGCAATTTGTTTGCCGTCTTGATACAGGTAGGCAGCAACAACAGTCTTTGCTTCAAGATCAGCGTTGGGCTTTTCAACAGGGACGTCCAGTGTCTTGATTTCTGTCGAGCGGTTTCTTTGGAGAATCAGGTCCGACGATACTGTCTGAGAGTACGTTTCCTTTCCAGTTTCAACATCCCAGGCTTTGACAACACAGTCCACAGTCACATTTTCCAATTCAAGGTTGCTTCCCCAAATTTCAACTTGTACTTTGGTGTCGATGTCGACTCTTGTGTACTTGTTCTTAGGGTGCTTATGTTCTCGGCGTGTCATCCCAATAGTGACTGGTGCCATCTCCCGCTTAATGGTGAAGTAGGAGTGTTTTGGTCGGAGGTAATAGTCACAGATAGCCCATGATGTAACCGGCCAGCAGTCGTTGGTCTGCCAAACCAAGACACCGCTACAATACTCCTTATTGGGGCCCTGCCATTGACGCTTCCACAAGCGATAAGCTGATGCTAAGGCTTCAGCCTGTAGCAGTTGGCTGTAATAGACATAGTCTTCCAGGGGATCCATGGTGAAGCGGAAGTTCTCGGCCATGTAAAGGCCGAGCCTGCGAAGCTGTCCATCTGCCTTGTTGTGGAAGTCTATGGTAGACGAGGTTGCAAACCTCTCAGGGTCATCTTTACCCTTTGGAAGGTAGTCATCAATGGTCTTGATATTTGGGAAACCCTCCATACCAAATTCGGAAACGAAACGACCAACAAGCTTATCAAAGTCCTGGTATCTTTGCTGGGAGCCGTGCCAGACATTCCACTGGTGGATGTCTCCGATGGTTGGATCAGTGGTCACCTTGCCGCCCCAAGGACTGGCAATGTGATAGACGGCTCCAGGATGAAGCTCGTTGCAGGCATCTGGGAGCAGCTTTTCGTAGATGTAACGAGCCGGGAAGTCGGTATTCAACCAGCTCTCTGGATCATGGTCGTCAAAGTCATAAGTGAGCTCCTCTGACTCCCGTAGTTGGTAATCTTCGTTGTTTCCAGCCCAGAGAACGATTGAGGGATGGTGACGCAGTCGCTTGATATTCGCTCGCGCTTCTCTGTCGATTGACTCAAGGAATTTGGGCCAAGCAGGGTAGTTTCCACAGGCGAACATAAAATCTTGCCAGACAAGAATACCAAACTCATCACAAGCATCATAGAAGACGTCTTCTTCGTAAATGCCACCTCCCCAAACTCGAAGCATAAACTGGTTACCGTCAGTGACAAGCTTGACCCAGTCACGGTATCTCTCCTTGGAGATCCTAGGGATAAAGTTGTCTGCTGGGATCCAGTTGCTACCACCGCAGAAGATGGGAATGTTGTTGACTTGAAAGAAGAAACTAGTTCCTGGTTGTCCGCTGAGCTCTCGTTGAACGAGCTCTAGTTTACGAAGGCCGATCTTTTTGGAGATTGAGTCAATCCCATCATTGCCTTCGAGAAGTGTGGCCTTGATGGTATAAAGAGGTTGCTTTCCATACCTGACGGGAAACCAAAGAGCTGGGTCTTGAATGTGGAAGGTGGTGGTTGCATCTTTGTCTTTGACATTTGCAGTTTCAGACGCGACCCCCTTTCCATCCAAGGAGACGTCGAAGCGGACTTTTGAAGCTTTTCCCTCGACTGTGGCATGCACAACAACGCTGGCCTTCTTTAGAGACTTCTCCACTTCCGATTCACAGTATAGGTCGGTGATGTGGGATTCATAAACCTCGAGGTTGATAGGTCGCCAGGGACCACAAGTGAGCATAGCAGGGCCCCAATCCCACCCCTGGTATTAGTTAGTTGATATGTGATGCACCGATTGTTGCAATGGCTTACCCAGTGGTACTGTGCCTTTCTAACCGGTAGTCTTGAGCCATCTCCATTCCAGACAACGTACTTATGATCGGGGTGCTCTTCCACCAACTTCCAGCCTCTCAAATAAGCAGCGTCGAATGTGATGCGAAGTTCATTCTCGCCGTCTTTCTTGAGGTTCTTTGTGACATCCACACGCTCAGGGACAAACATATTCTCAGTCTCAAGAATATTCTCACCATTTAGCTCAACCGTGGCGAATGTGTCAAGGCCATCAAATACCAGAACCGCCTTTGCACCATCGCTAACCTTTGGGCTTTCAAAGGTGGTCTTGTAGACCCAGACGGTCTCTCCAATCCATTGGACCTTTAACTCATTCTTTCCAATGTACGGATCAGGAATCTTTTTGTGATGCAAGAGATCGAGATGAACGTTTGTAGGGAATTGAGCGACTGGTAAATAAGACGAGTCGTCTTCCTTCTGCTGCTTGAACTGCCAGTTCTTGTTGACCGGGGTAACAGTGCGGGGAGTCATGATGCTGTGCCTCTGGCTGGGGTTTGTATGATGCGGCGTGTGTGAGAGCTACCGAGATAAATCGAGGATAGTGAAGAGTTTATTTCAGCTGCGTGATATAGCCCAGGTAGTAATAGAAGAGGAGAGAGAGGGATTGAAATGCAATGCACGATCTGACGTTTTGACGTTTTAACATGGAAGGAAGGTCGCGTTTACCCGGACAATTTGCCTGGGCAAGTACAACCATGACCCCGCGAAATGTGCA